AGGCTGCTTTTCAAGTTTCCCTCTTCTTCCGTTATAGAAAGTCTGGAGAGGAGAGGGAAAATCATAGCTTGTGAGCAACACTGAGGAGGAAATGTGTATCTCTTGGTGGCATCTCTTCCATAAAAGTCAAGTCCTGGATTACACTCCTAGCTAGAGATGCCACCAAGAAAAGTTAACAACCATATTTACCTAACCATTGGGTAAAATCCTTAATGGAAGAATACCCTAATTCATCTAACATGAGGACCTGCCTATTGAATGAGGAAAGGATGATGGGCAGTCTTCCTTTTTATTCATGGCTGCCTTCCCAGGTTGAGTGGTGGGTGATACACTGGGAAGAAGATGCCAGTGGGGGAAACTTGGCAAACAGCCAGCTAGATATTACAGTCAGAACAGATCTTTGTAGAAAAATCAGACACTTTTTCCATTTTATTCCAAATCTCATATATTATTTTGTAACTGCCTTCAAACACAGTTGCATAGTTAACCTGTCCACAGTGGATTGCTAAGTGCTGTTGGAGTTTTCACTATTGCTATCCCTATTAGAAAAAAATTGCTTGATTGTTGAATTATAGCTTTGTCACATTTTTCACAGATGCTATAGGTTTTTTATTTTTGTGTATGTTTTTTAGTATTTTTAATACCCAGAGTCAACATGCATGAGATGGGCAGCCATGTCAATCCACTGAATAAATAAACATAGTTTGGTTCCTCTCAAAATCTTTACTTAATTCTTGTCCTTCCTGGAGAGATTGGTGAGGGAGAAAAATGAATGAAATATATAACAAATAAAACCATTATATACACTGAGATATTTCACAGATCAAATAGTGATATTCAAGCATCGTACAAACTATCACTTTAATTTTGGTTCCAATAGATTGTAAGAAAAAGCTATATCCTCGCAGTGCTAAAGAACCTTAGGTTGAAAGTCATCCTGAATTTATTTATTCTTAACAGATACTGTAGGAAAGATCTTCCTTTTCTAATAATTAATGCTTGGCATTTTTTCTTAACAGGACTCAATCTATTGAAAATAATAAAAAAGAAGACTGTATGTATAATCTCTGGAAAGATTCTAAAAGTAGGAAAAAGAAAACTGCTTGTACAGAATATTTTCCTTATATCTGTGAAAAAGAGCAAACATAAAACTATGCAATTTTATAAAGTTTACATTTTCTTTTTTGAAAAAAATCATGTACTTCATTATTTGATAGTTTCTATCTAATTTCTTATGGAGTTACAATTTTTCAAGTGCTGCAGTAATCAGAATAAGACATTCTAGTTAGGAGATGCTGCTGCCTAACAAACACAATTTGTCTTTTCTTGTGTTTTTTTTTATTTTATTGAAACAAGGTAAGAGTAAAAAGATTGTAAGGTGGAGCATATTTTAAAAATGTTTTAAGGAGTGTTGTAACGTTAAGCAAGAAAAGCATCCATATTCAATCATTCTAACTTGAAAAACACTTGTATAGAAAAAGCTAACATGTGACATAAAATATTAATGTATCCAACAAGCAGTTTTTAATAAATCTATCTGGAACTCTAGAAGTTTTCAAGGGTTTTTTTGTTTTTGTTGCTCTTATATTAATTTTATATATATATTATATATTAATTTTTTAGCAACTGGTTAATGACCACTATAAAGTTATTTTGTTTTGAATTTTTCATCAAATAACTTGCTTTTCTCAAAGTTATCTGCACATTTATGAATAGATTTAATAGCTTTACACTTGCTTGAAACATCACACTTGTGACATATTTTATAGACCAAACAACTATGCATAGTGTTCTTGTATGCAAAGAATTGGGAACATATCCTAGAATAGGAGAGCAAGTTCCTATAGTTCAATTGTTCTGGTAGAAATATTTGTCGCCTTGATAGCATTCCTGATGGCATGCTATTGTAATTGCTTCACTGTTGTTCAATTCAGAATATCGTTCCAATAATATTTTGCCAAAGTGGGTTGAGAATAACATAACAGCATAGTAAATATGAAGTATTTAGTCCATGTTCCTGGGAAAGAATTCCTACAAATACTTAATCATGTGAAGTTATACCTGAAGTTTCATTCTCAGAACTACTTATATTCCTGTAATGAACTGATAATGATGGGGAAATGCAAGGAATTGCTAGGAATTTAGAAATAGAAGATATTATATTTGAAAGCCATATTTTAGCTCTTGAATGTGTTGCCAATGGAAGTAATCTTTTGGAAGGTGAGAGTTATCTTTTAATTTTATGCCATCAGTCCTAGAGTATATCTGCTCTTTCTCACAACACTTTCAGTCTGTCTGCCTTAATTTACACTAATTTCATAAACATACCAATCCTGTTAGATCTAGCAGTTCTTAGTATAATCTGTAATCACATGTAATCAGTTGTTCAGCAACAGAAGTTTTCTTGAAACTAGCATTCGAAGACTGCTAGAAGAGCATAACTATATAAAATGTGTATCATGCAAGAGGAAATGGACTTCAATTGAATGCTGGGGGGAGGGAATCAACCTAGACCCCCAACAGCCTCCCAATTCTAGGATAAGACTTCAATCGCAGTGCAGACCAGGGTAGCAATGGATCCCCCCCCCCCGTGGCTTCATGTAAATGTTGAAAAATGGTGGCAGATAACTGAGTGCTATGATTTATGATAAAGACACAGCCACAGACCAATCTTTGGTTCATCACAATCCTCAGCTAAAACTGCCCAAAAAGCAGAACCACTGAATGTGGGAATTCTTGAAGGGGAAAAAAAAGGATGGTTTTGGACATTTCAGTCTTATCTCTCAATTAAAGCATCAGTCCATCCTTTAGGGATTCTGTGAGAAAAATAGTGAAACAGCTTACAGACACCCTGTTTTCATATGCTCACTAATAAATAAGGGTTGGAATCTCTTCATCTACTTTCTGAGATCCTGTAAATTAACCCATTTTCCTGGCATTACATCTGATTAATGAGATTTTGGTAAATGCTGCTTCCTTGGCCATGTATTGCTTGTAGGGCTTGACACAATGTGAATCAGCACTTCCAATCCCCACAGATGATTCAGGAGATACTGTGGGGGCCTAAAACAACCAGGGCGAGCATATTCTTACTCAGGTCCAGGCAAAAGTCAACTACTTAGTAATCAGTGCCATCTTTCTTCCATGCCCAGGGTTGAATCTTGGCTGGTATAGATAATCTGCTTTTTCCTAGTCCTTCTATAACTGGCTCCAACCTCCAATGCCTCAATAGACCTCTGTAAAAAGGGAAAGTTATAGAGGGTGAGATACCGGTAGTTATTCAGAACAGCTGTATCCAAAGAGGATCTCTTGAGGAAAGGTTATAATATATTCTTTTATAAGGCTGCCAGGACCTCCTACAACTGGAGCAAGGCACACACAACTTCCTTGATTCTGCTTATCACATTCTCCAGCCATACATGAGTCAGGAAGGGCAGGTGTCTAGTTGATAAATCACTGAAGACATATCAGAAGTCTATCCACTGGAGTCTGTGGACCAAAAGGAGTAAAACTACTACATAAACGTGGCATAGACTTTTATGTTTCCTAGGTTGTATACTTTCCTAAAATGTTTGTTGCAAACACTAAATTATTTTTTATATCTTTCTCCCTATCCTGCGTAATATAAAAGCAATGGATTTCATGAGAATCTTCTGGAATCCTGTCTATGATGTCACTCGGATGAGTGGCTTCTTCTTTGCTAAGGCAGGATTGCAGATCAAGGATTCTTTATGTGCCTAAAATCCTTCAATTCAAACCCAGACCACTCAGGTTAAGAGGTGGAAGTCACCCCTGATACAGGAACAGATCCTTTCTTGAGGACCTGGAGGGCTGCTGTAGGTCCAAGCAGAGCACTTTGAATATGGGGTTAAAGGCCCATTGTCTGCTATATACAGATACCTAATTTGCACCAATTTATGAACATTTGCTTATTTAACTCTATTTATAATCTGCCCCAGTTCCAAAGGATTTTTTTTTTGTCAGTTTGGTGTAGTGGAGAAGGTGCTGGCCTAAACATTGATAGGCTGTGAGCTCCTGTGGCATGAAAGCTGGTTGGGTGAATTTAGGGCCAGTCTTCTCTCTCAGCCCATCCCACCCCAGAGGGTTACTATGGGGAGAATAGGAGGAAAAAGGAGTATTAGATATATTCACTGTCTTGAGTTACTTATAAAGTAATGAAGGATTTAAATCAATTAAAAGTCTACATAACAATTGGAAAAACAAAACAAATGAAAGAAAAAAATCCAATTCCAAACTCTCAGTCAATCATCTGGAGTCAGTAAAATAAAACAGGTCACATAGTTTTCGAAATAACAACAAAATGGGAACTGCAGATACTCATTATCTATCCCCTTGGCAACCAATGCAGTGTCTTTAATATAAATGTTATTCTAAATGGATAAAGAGTTATCTCGACACCGTGTTTTGTGCCAGCTGCAGTTTCTGGGTTATCTTTTAATACAGCCTCACATAAAATAAATTGTAGTAGACCACTAGAACATTTTGCTCTATTATAATGTTGAAAATTCAGGATGTTTCACATGCAGAATTCCAAATACCAGGCTCAGCTAGCTTGAGAGTGTCTAGCTAGCAGGAACATCCACAAAGGGTTCAACAATATCAAAATGGCAGGCACGACCAGGTGACCAAAGCCCATCCTTTTTCATCTGCATGCGTTTCATGTGATTCATTTAAAAAGGGTGGAGCTTCAATAACTGCAGTTGCGCCTGCCATTTGATGTCATTGAGTCCTCCCTGAGAATGCCTCTGCTCTCCAGATGTGTTGGATTAAATCTTACTATCACCAAGCATGGCCAAATCCTCCATATGCTGAGGGTGCTGGGTTAGGGAAGGCTGATGCTACCCTTATTTTCTTTATATTTTTAAAAGCAAATGCCTGCAAAACTAACCTATGATCTTCTTATGAAACCAACTTCCTGATCTTCTAGATCTTTTGGAACTTCAACTCATAAAATTCCCCATTACAATAACTAAAGATTATATTTTTTAAGCATTCAAGGAGTTGAAATTCTTTCCATCATACTTGGTGAGCACTAGAGAGGCTATCCATCCATCCATCCTTCCTTCCTTCCTTCCTTCCTTCCATCCATCCACAGTGAACACTGTTGATCTATTTTAGCTATCCACTATCTAGAACAGGGGTCCCCAACCCCCGGTCCATGGACCAGTACCAGGCCATGGCATGCCAGCAACTGGTCCGCACAAACAAGCAAAGCCCCATCTGTGGGATGCAGGCAGCACACAAAACCACACAATCTCCGGTCCATGGAAAAACTTTTCTCCACAGAACTGGTCCCTGGTGCCCAAATGTTTGAGGACCTCTGATCTAGAACATGTCCCAAAGGTGCTTTTCTAAAAGCAATTGGACTTTCTTGGGTTTTTTTTTCCTTGAAAACATTTCGCTTCTTATCCAAGAAGCTTCTTTATGAGAAACAAAATGTTATCAAGGAAAAAAAAAACCAAGAAAGTCCAGTTGCCTTTTGAAAAGAATCTTTGGGACAACCATTACATGGACAATTGAGAATCTCCATAAATATCCAGAACATGATTAAATAGTAGCAGTGGAAAATCAGAATCTTACCAAAGGATCAGATCAAATAGACATATTTGTGAAGAATAAAATTTGATGGGATGATCTTGCCAGGTTGCAATGAGGGCAGAAAATATATATATATGCAGGGAGATAACCCATAATAGTTATCCACATCAAGGTACACTATTAAACTAAGATGTCCTATAAACAGTACTTGAGAAATGATACACGAGTTAGACCAGTTGATAAAGATCTCAGCAACTGCAAGCTAGTGATAAAAGAGTCAGTTTAATCTAGTGATTGAGGCACCAGGCTAGAAAGCGGGAGACTGTGATTCTAGTCCTGCCTTAGCCATGAAAGCCAGCTGGGGTAATTTGGGCCAGTCACTGTCTCTTAAGCCAATTCACCACACAGAGTTGTTCTTGGGGGGGGGGGAATAGGAAGAGGAAAATGTATTGGTTATGTTTTCCACCTTAAAACAATAAAAGGCAGGAAATAAATAAAAATAAAATAAAAGCCTTTAATGTATCAGTCACCCACTATTTCCTAAGTATGAATGACTTTCTGTCCAGCAGCCAAAAAAGTTGCAATTAAGCAGCTTAGAACTGGTAGACTGGTGGTTACACGCTTAGTGAACATCTACCCACTACTAGTATTCCACACGATAAAGGCAATTGATGCCTTGCTGTTCTATGGCCCTCTGCTCAGTGGTATGTTTCACAGAGCAGTTATTCTGCGGTAGGAACACTTGTATCAGAATTGTATCCATCCACATACAGATGTGTGTGTGTGTACAGCTAGTCCTGGATTTGCAACGACAACTGAGTTCGAAATTTCCATTGCGAAGCAAGACAGTTGTTAAATGAGTTTTGCCCCATTTTACAACCTTTCTTGCCACAGTTGTGAATCACTGCAGTTGTCAGTAACATGTTGTTAAGACAAGGACAA